AGGAAGGCAGAAGGAGACGCTGCCAGCCACTGCCAGGACAAGCAGCATGTGAAGATGTTGGTAAGCCACGAGCCGCGTGGCAAGGTATAGATTTGTAGAAATGCGTTACTTTAAGATATAGGAACAGTTAACAGGAGGCCTGCCACGGACATACAGTTTGTAAGCAATATAAGTCTCTGTGTTTGCTTGGTTGGGTCTGAGCGGCTGTGGGACTGGCGGGTGACAGAGATTTGTCCTGACTGTGGGCAAGGCAGGAAAACTCTAGCTACAGTCCAGGTGGTCTATTCACCCACTGAAGGACATCTTTTCTTTTATTCTTGAGAGAGGCTCTCACTGTATAGTGGAGGCTACCTTCAAAGTCCCAAGGTACAGCAGACTGCCTTCAATTGTCTTGGATTTTAGTCCTGTGCCACTAGACCTAACCGTGAAGGACAGGCATCTTGGTTGTTTCTAAATTAGTAATTGTGAATGAGTTTAGAGGAAGGATTTGGGGCAGACATGTTCTCACCGTATCTGGTTAAACTCAGGGGGCACAACCATCAGGCGACAAGGTAGAGAGCCCTCAGGCTTACCTCAAACTGGCACCTATCTTGGGGCCACAAACTACCAACTCCTGGCAGCCACGGTGAGTGTTGGTGCCCACTGTTGTGAGGTTTGGTCATTTAACACACACCGAATAGTCTTCAGTTTCCAAATGACAGGTATTTCCAGCATAGGCTCATAAGGCTGTTTGCCATCTGCCCATCTACGATGGCAAGGTGGCTATTCAGCTCTCTCGTCCATTCTTTTATTTATTTATCTATTCAGATCTCTTTCTTTCCTTTATTTGTTTTAGGTGTGAGTGATGCAGCAAGGTAGCTATTCAGATCTCTTACCCATTCTCGATCTGTGGGACTTGAACTTAGGACCTCTGAAAGAGCAGCCAGTGCTCTTAACCACTCAGTCATCTCTCCCCAGCCCCTCCTGTCCATTCTTAAAGTGGATTTTCACTACCTTACTGTGCAGCCTTTGAAGTTCCTGATGAGTCTTGGATGTGAGACCTTCACCAGATCTGTGTTTTGGAAAGACAGCTCGCCCCTTCCCATCCTTTCAGCGCTGTCCAGCCCACCACTCTCCTCTCTTGGGGTCTCGACACTGCCCAAACCAAGGCTGAACTTCCTCCTGCGCCATCTATACGCTCTACAGTTGCTCAATGCACACTCAGCTCTCCAGTCCACTTGGGACCACATTCTGTGCAAAAGGTAAGGTTGCGCATTCCACGCATGTGGATGCCCAGGTGCCCCGTACTGTTGTCCTTTGGTCAGTGTCCGTGGCTGGACTGTGTGGGGCTCCCAAGTCAGCCCCTGGACCCACTGATGTGCTCATTCGCCAGCATCATCAGAGTCTTGACTCTGGGTCCTCAGGTCTCCCTGCTCTGTCTTCTGGCCTCACGGAGCTATCTGCTCGATACCTTTGAACTCTGAATCAACCTTTCATCCATAAAGTAAGGAGTCAAGATCCTTGTTGTGATGAATTAAATGTACAGACGTTTTGTCTTTGTTCGGAAACAAGGTCTCCCTCCACTGTATAGCCCTGGTTGACCTGGAATTCACACCTGCCTCTGCCTACGTACAGAGTGCTGACACAGAGGTGTGCATCACCACACCCTGCAGGACTCCTTCTGAGTGATACTGAGTCGTCCTGCCCTCAAACACGGACATCCAGTGATATAGATCACGGTTTCTGCCGCAGGTGCTTACTAAGCTTGTGTATGCTTTATTAAATGTTCTGACTACTAAGCTAATGGCCACACATTTCCCTTGTTGCTGGTGTGCAGGATTAGTGTGATCTTGCTGTAACTTCTGAGGAGTTCCATTGCTGACTTTTTGGAATTTCCTCAGTTCTGTCAGTAGCTTCATTTTTACCTTTTCAAGCTTGTCTTAGTGCACTAGCTTGGCTCCTAACCCGATGCTGAAAGGACAGCGGGAGGACACCACCACCGTGACCCATGGGTGAGGACCATGTCAGCACAGGGCCTGCTCTGCTCACACTTTCTTGTGAGCTCTGATGGGGAATACAGACTGGACCTTGACAAAGACTTCTGCTTTAGGGGAGAGGAGTTCATCAATATGATCGTACAGTTTTCTTTTTCAGTGAAGATAGAAGGCTCAGAATCCCAGGAACAACCAATGTGCCACAAACACCATCAGCACGTGGCAGGGCACCCCTGCAAAAATCCCGTCCTGAGGATGGGAATGCACACAGAAACAGAATCCCTTGGAATTACCATGCATGGATGTAACCTGGAATGCGTACTCACTGAATCTGTGACCGTGTTACATACCTGAGCATAGCAGGCTTCTTCTATGGCTAACCCTGTTACTAAGTCGACCTAGGGATAAAAACACATTTTAGCAGAATAAGGAGGATCCAATACAAACTCAAACTAAGTAGCCCCCATCTAAAATAACAGAATCCTTCAAACATAGCACAACTGCTCAGAAGTATGTGCAACTTGAGACTTGCAACTAAACTCCTGAAATCACAGTCTGAGCCCACCATCTAGAGCTGTGCAACTTGGAGAGTTGTGTGGCCTCTCTCTGCTTCAGAGGCATGTCTGACAAGGAGCTAGCTGCAGTACTCACTAAGTAGGGGGTACAGTGAGGGTTAATGAAGACTTGCACACACACCATGCATGCGCACACACGCACACGCACACGCACACGCCAGCATGCACACATGTGAGTTCCAAAGTTTATGAGAATCTGCACTGTCCACTGTTGGTCCCTCTAGCCCAGGACTCCTCTCCTTTGCAGTCATGTTCCCAGTGTGACACACAAACACCCGCAGACCAGCCTGGCTTCAGTGCTTCTCCCTGCACACACATGAAAGATTCCAGGTAGAATGCAATTACTCAGCATGGAGCTGGGCGGCTCTCCTTGGATTACTGATAGAGGTGTGATCTGGCTAAGGATTCTGTTTCCTCAGGACTGGCTGAGGACCCCACTACAGCAATGGCAGTGAGAACAAGGCTGCCCTAAGCTGCAGGGACACTGGAATTCTGCAGCTACGGCCCTGAAGGGAATCCCAACAGCTTCAGTCAATATGGCAGCAGCTGCATTCCAGAGCACTAGGAACGACACAGATGTCTAAGCCTGATTCTGAGTAGCAGGCTCCTTCCCCGGCAGCACCCGAAACACTCACCTCCATCCCTTGATTAATTGCTAGTTTGGCCACTCTCATTGCAACAGGCCCCTGAAAGTCAAAGGAAAGAAACAGACTTTAATTAAAACCTGGGCAAATTAGCAGACTACCTCAGCAGAATTCACATATTCTCAACGCTGGATCCACAGATCCGCTAACGACCACCGAGACGCTAGACAGAAACCGACTTTCTGAGCGACTTGGACTTCGGAGTGGCTGTCACCGATCAAACTGGGTCTTGATGGCAGCAGGAGCTGTATGTCCTTTAAACGTCCAGCACTCCTCAGGTCCTGTCCTTCCCAGTGAAGCAGAGGGGAGCCCGGGAAGTCTGCCCGGCTCAGCACCACACCAACCAGGGGCGATGCCTGGCACTCAGGCTGGAGATGAACAGGAGCTGCCGAGTGAGGCTCTGGGCCATCACCTACGCACTCGCCAGCTCTTCTCCTGCAGCGTGGAGAGCCAGGAGTGTCCTCTCAGCTTGGACAGCTAACTGCAGTGATGGTGGGCTGACACAGATGCGTCCCCTCAGGTATGTCTGGGTTATGGAGGGAAGAACTAAATGCCCTCTGAGAAGACAGGAACGCTCACATGCTGTGGTATCTCAGCTGCCATCCCTACCCTAGAGACGGCCATACTCTGCGAACAGAATTGAGTTCTTAGATCTTGATTTACATCTATCCACAGGAGACAAGTGTCAATCGGATGGTATATTTTGAATTGAATGGTCTTTTTAGATTATCACACAACACAGTGGGTCCGAGGAAAGGGCTCAGTGGGTAATGTGCTTCCTGGGAGTTCAGATCTTCAACACACATGAATGGCAGGTTGGTGTGGCAGCCAGCCTGTAATCCCAGAGCTTGGGGAGGCCGAAACAGGCAGAAAGCACGCTGACTGGACTGATGAGCTGAACTACAAAGCTCGGGGCCCAAGAAAGAGATCCTTCTTCGATATGTAAGATGAAGAACAATGAAGGAAGACACCAACGGCAATCCCTGGCCTCCACAGGAGTGTGCACATTCAGTCTCCTGACTCAGTGGGAGACAGTGTCATCTAGACGCTTTAATGTGAGGTAGCAGCCCACCTTCACTCTCTCTATGGAGATAACTTAGGTTAGAGTACGAGTTGGTAAACAAGCTAAAACAACTTGCTAGGAAGTTACATACTTCTGTGTGTGTGTGTGTGTGTGTGTGTGTGTGTGTGTGTGTGTGTGTGTGTGTGATGCATGCATGCCATGTGTCTGTGTATCTGTCTCCAGTGCAGCCCTCAGATTACCTTCCAATCTTATTTTAATTGCTTTACTTGAGAGGCAGGAGAGGGCCGCCCCAGCTTGTGAGTTGGATGCTGCACTATGAGAGAATGCTATGGAGTGATCTCAGGTGGACTCAGGTGCTTGCACTGGTACCTGAGGTAGGAACTCTCTCGCCAGGTCCAGTGCCTTCCTGTAGGCAGCGTCCCCTTCCTGGTTCTGCTCCAGCACGTGGCTGATCAAGCCCACAGCTTTGGCTTCTTGACCATCAAGAACTCGTGCAGAGAAGATGAGTTCCTTGGCCAGGGACATCCCGATGGCGCGTGGCAATCTCTGTGTCCCTCCTGAAAGGTGGAGGAGAGAAGAAGGGCACATGATGATCTGAAATAGTTCCCTCCCAAAAATAAGCCAGGGCCAGAAATATTTATGTGCTTCAAGCAAGGCTCCAGTGTACAGAGTCACACAACCGGTAATGCTGAAGCACATAAGAATGTCATGTCATGGAGTGGGTGGGCACCTGGACCCAGCACGGATATTCTTCAGTCTAAGGCAGGTCTGGCAAGGACAGGCCCTCCTCCTAGTCACTGGCAAAAGCCAATACCATGCCAGCAGACAGCAGCAGACAAGCAGGGCTCCCAGGAATCCACCCACCAGAAACAGTTCCATCGAGCTTCCATTCCAAATTCTGACAAGTTCAGTTCACAAAGAGACTCCTTGATGGTGTGAACTGTAAGCTAATTCTAACTCAGGAGAAATGAAAGCAACTGTGATGAGAACTGGCCTTGCCCTACACCATTCACTGTTCCTGCAGGCCTCTACACTACTGAAGATGCTCATTCACTCATTCATTCACAACTCACTCATTCATTCGCTCATTCACTCACTCCCTCTCCTCACTCAGATGTGTTCTCGCTACTGAGGAAGCCTGCTCTGCAGAGCCAGGGCTACACACGTGGTCTCAGCTCTGTCAGTACCTCAGGGACGCCAAGAGCTGAGTGACTGACTCCGGCACAACTGCCCAATTTAGGGTAAACACGGGTCACATGGGCTAATGCATTGCATCCATACACCAATCCGCTGCAGCATCTCCTGGGGGAAGGGCTGGGAAGAGGTACCAGATCCCCTGGGCTGCAGTTGCAGGTGCTTATGAGCTGCCCAAATGAGTGCTGGGAACTGAACCTAGGTTTTCTAGAGCAGTAAGGGCCCTTAAAACAGAGCCATCTCTCCAGATCCAACCAACAACTTTTTCATCCCTGAAAATCATCCCTAACTTGCAGATTTTAACCTACTGACCACCTGACAACACAGAATTTCCCACTGAGGGTGGGGCCAGGCCCTCTGGGATGGGGGAACCCATGGGCTCTGTCTGGTGAGGGCTGATCTGGGTTCATGCAGCACTTTCGCTCGGTGGCGCTGAAGATGTAGGACAGACACGATTTCACACGCATGTTCCGAATATTCTCTTAAATATTTTGCATTGAGTTGAGGCTTATGCCTCCAGGGTGAGCACTGACTAATGAGTCATCTCTGCCCCCCCCACCCCGGGGAGGGGGCTCCATCTTTCGGCACTTCCATGTGATCTCAGCGCATCTTCAACCTTCCCACTGCCCACTGTACTAAATGCAGCCTCTTCAGCAAGGCATACATTTTACCATTGTGATTTAACTGTTTCTTGAAGCCCAAGAAGTCAAAAACAAAAACAGAAGGACCAATTCTCTCAAGGATGCACAAAGACGGCAAAGAGCTTCCCTGAGGTCAGACTCTCCCCTGTTTCTCCTTTGCTATCATCCACACCTGGTATCTTCCAGTCTGTCAGCTCAGGGGTCCAAAACGGCTGCTGAAGCCTTGCCATCACACCTGCAAACCATCAGTGCGCAGAAAGAAAAGGGGCAGGGTAAAAAGTACTGCATGTGCTGGAGACCTGGATGAAGCACTGGCTACCAACACTCACTTGTGACTGACTATTCACTGCCCAGGGCTGGTTCACATAAAGCTACAGGGACTCAGAAATGGGACTCTCCTTGCTATGTGTCTCACAGCACGAGGAATTCAACGGGGTCTCTGTTTCTAGTAGAGTGGAAGTGGGTAGATACTCAGCAGTCACAAACTAAATGGGCAAAACCAACTTAATCACGTCATTACACTTCACATTTGCATGTTATTTGAATAGGGCGAAAGTATCCTGGAAATGTCAGACCTGATTTGTAATTTCTGTTATGTAATCTAATGGAAGGCATCAAAAAAACTTAGATAAAACAGGCAGGGGCTCGGGCAGAGACAGCTTTTGCCAGAGGAGAAACACACTGCTCAGTGCAGAAGACAGCAGACAGACACAATGTCCCTTAAGAAAGCTTTGACATTCATAATCGATTATAGCATAATGTATAAACAACTGAACATAATTTGGGCCCATCCAGTATGAAATGTAAACTGTAGAAAGCACCCCGCTTGGTCTGGTTTGTTTGTCCTTCATCTTTCCACCCTCCTGACTTCAAGGAAAAAGAATTCACACTAACAAAAGGGGACGCTTGGCACATGGACGACTCTGAGTTGATAGCTACACAGGCCATAGCAAGGGATTTTACCTACAGGACTAGCAGTGACCTTTGACCCCAGGACTCCTCATAAATTCCTTCTCTTAAACAGAGAGCTCCACACTGCAGTAAATGCCCTTTCATGCAACAGATGCCGAGAGCTGGGCAGAGCCTTCTCAGTAGACCAGGGCCCAGTGCTCACATGACTGACCCAGTGCTCACACAAGTGACACCCTCTCTCCTTTACAATGTTTGCGGGCCCTGAACACGCCATGTCACGAGCACACGGAACCATAGGACAATCTGGCCTTCAATCTGGTCACTGTTTACAGTGTTGAGATGCCTTCTACTCTCCATGCTTCGGGCTGTTGTAAAGCAGTGGGGTGGGGAGCCCAAGACCAGAACACTTGAGGAGAAAAATCAACTGGCTGAACCGCAGCAGAACGTCCTGAACCAAGCAGGCAGAGCTCGGCCCGCCCTCGCTGACACCTCCGCAGCAAAACTAGAATGTTTAAGGACTGGACAGGAAGACACGGGTTAGACAGTCAATTATTTTCACAAGGGCAATTAAGCAACCGGCGGCAAATTAGAACACTTACTACAGCTTTACAGTTTCAGAATTCATTAGTGAAAGCCTTTCTACTAGTCCACTGTTAGAGAAAGACATGCTAAAGCCTTACTCATTACAAAGAAAATGATGCTTTTTAAATGTTTCTCTAGACGTTTTTTCTTTAACAAAAAGTGTTTGTTCAGACATCACTGTGTCTTAACTTCTCTTTCTGTAGTTCTGAGGCCAATCCAGGCCTTGCTAACTGTGGTAAGAGCCCTGCCTCAGGCTACACCTCTAGCTGTAATCAGCCCCACGTCAGACTCTTCACTTTTTAAAAGCACATCCCTGCAGACCAGACGAGCAGTCTTCCTTTTAAAAGGCTATGGAAGAGAGCCAAAGAGCACTCCGACCACTCGCAGGGCTCCCAGCAGCCCAGCCACCCAGCACACCGTGTGCAGTCTGTAGGCTGAACTCCACGCGGGTCTTCAGAGCATCCAGAAACTAAATGACCGCCTCACAATAGCTGCTTCCCACACATCTAAGTGGACTCTGCACGTCTCATGCAAGTGGAGAGCTTGCCAGCAGGTCTCTGCCATCAACACACCAACCTAAGTCAGTGTGATGCTCTCAGGAGTGGCAACCCAGAGAGGCTGCCAGGAAGAGGGAGCCACTGAACCTTGTAGCACCACATGGTACAAGCTAGCTCGCTCAAGCTGCCAACGTAAGGCACCAGGCCACCACACACCATGACCATGTCTACTGTCCCGTGTGGCACCCTCCAGTTCAGTCCCTATTTCTAACAGCAGCATGTTACAGACGACGGCGAACATCAAAGGCTGGTCTCCTTCTGTGACGCCTGCCTCGTCTACCTAACCGAACAGGTGCGGTGTGTGTGTGACATGACACGGTTGTGCTGCTAGAGGAACACAGCCTTAAAGGAGCCCCTGAGAGAGAGGTCCTCTCAAACAGTGGCTTTGCTGGAAACAGCTTTCACACTGACGGTGAGGACCATCAGCTGGCTCCGGGCTACTCCATGAGCTCTGCTTATCACTTGGTTCTCCTTTTTTTTCTTACATTAAAAAAAAAAAATTGTGTGTGGTGTGTGTGTGTGTGCACGCGTGCGCCCATTTAAGTGGACATACAGAGGCCAGAGAATCCCTGGAGCTAGAGTTATAGGTGGCTGTGAGCCACCATTTGGGTGCTGAAAACTGAACTTGGATCCTCTGTAAGAACAGCAAGCTAGAGCTCTTAACTTCTGAGCCATGTCTCCACTGCCCCCCCCCCCCTCACACACACACACCCCTCACATCTTAAATGTTGAAAACCAATTATGCAACAGGATTTCCAAACTCAGCTTGGTGGTAACAGTGTCTTCACCAAGTTCTTTACCAAGAAAAGGTTTCATCACCACTATGACCGGAAGACAGGCGTGTCTGTGTAGTCAGCTAGTGAGCCTGCAAAGGACTCCACTAATCAAAACAACGCCTCTCACCTCACAGGTTCTGCAGGTCCCGAGCCCAGGAGGCCTGTGCCTGCTATCTGGTGAGCCTCATAGGCTGAGGCCTTCGCTTTGGACTTCCTCTGCCTCTGGCTAACACTCTGTGTCCTGCAGCAGTGAGCCAGGTGAGGGGGCTGCCTCCTGGCATGGCGTGACTCAGTGGACATGACCCAGTGGACCCAAGAGAGGCAAGACCTGAGAGGGAGGCCACAGTCTTAACCTCTCCGAGGGGTGTCAACTCAGAGTAAGGCACAGTGGCGGACCATCCACAGGAACAGCGCAGACCATCCACAGGAGCAGCGCAGACCATGCAGCACACTGTGCATCCCTTCCTACACTGTTTTCTAGAAAGCCTTCAGAGCACCTCCCCGAAGTTTACAACCATCCCCATCCTTTCCAGGCTGAGGAGAGGGGAACAGAGCATGGTAACGAGTCATCTTTAAAAAACAACAAAGGATGGGGAGAGAGTAACATGGAAGACGCTACTGTCGGACCACATCACAGGGAAGACACATGGTAGCCGCCCACGACCACAGGAGTCAAGGGTGAGGTGCACACACATGAAGAGTCCTTTCCTCGCTAGCTCTGGAGCTGGCGGCTTCCACTCCATGAGGGGCCCAAGGGCTTAGGACACAGTGGAGCGCCCTCAGGAGCAGACATGCACACTGCCTCAAACCCAACCACTTACACACCCTCTTCTCACAAATATCAGGCGCTACCATCGGCCAGCAAAATATTATTGAAAAAAAAAGAGAGAGAACA